ACTCTGTGAAACAACTAGACCATCTGAACCAGGGAAGCAGAGTTTTGGTGACATTTCTTATTAAATACATCTGATGAAATCAATTATCTCTGGGAAATGAAACAGATTCTACCTTTTTTTTTTTTTTTTTTTTTTTGGGTACGCAGGCCTCTCCCTGTTGTGGCCTCTCCCGTTGCGGAGCACAGGCTCCGGACGCACAGGCTCAGCGGCCATGGCTCATGGGCCCAGCCGCTCCGCGGCATGTGGGATCTTCCCGGACCGGGGCACGAACCCGTGTCCCCTGCATCGGCAGGCAGACTCTCAACCACTGCGCCACCAGGGAAGCCCCAGATCCTACTTTTGATAGATAGATGTTATCATCAGGAGAAGAAAGGTGACAACACGGTCACTACAGTCAACTAGATTACCAAGTAAGAAGCACATCCAAATATCTTCAAATGTCAGAGAACATAAAACATTTTCAGAAATTTAGTTCTGGATTATACTCTCAGAGTTCACATACGAATTTCTTCCTAAAACCCGGTACTTACTTGACTTTTTTGTATGAAACAGTCTCTGACATTCCCCTGCCCCCCCCCCCTTTTTTTTTTTTTTGCGGTACGCGGGCCTCTCACTGCTGTGGCCTCTCCCGCTGCGGAGCACAGGCTCAGCGGCCACGGCTCACGGGCCCAGCCGCTCTGCGGCATGTGGGATCCTCCCGGACCCAGGGCACGAACCCGCGTCCCCTGCATCGGCAGGCGGACCCCCAACCACTGCGCCACCAGGGAAGCCCTCCCCTGCCCCTTTTTGACAGCTTTGGATTTCTGTCTTTGGTAACAGGTAAAAAATCTACATATGATTGAATTTATTACCCCAAATTAACAAACTAGGGAACACATAAAAGTTCAGAGAAGCCTCTCTTAATTCAAACAGTCCTTTAGTTTTTAAGTATTTGAAGAAGACATAAATTAAGCTTTAGAAGGGGAAAAAAATTACTGATACTGACAGCCTAGAAACTAAGATTAAAATTTTACTTGGCAGGGCTTCCCTGGTGGCGCAGTGGTTGAGAGTCTGCCTGCTGATGCGGGGGACGCGGGTTCGTGCCCCGCTCCGGGAAGATCCCACATGCCGCAGAGCGGCTGGGCCCGTGAGCCATGGCCGCCAAGCCTGCGCGTCCGGAGCCTGTGCTCCGCAATGGGAGAGGCCACAACAGTGAGAGGCCCGCGTACCGCAAAAAAATAAAATGAAATAAAATAAAATAAAATAAAATTTTACTTAGCAAAAGTGCATTCAATAAGTTTTTGAAACCCAACTCTGATCTCTCTGTTCCAACCCACCAAACCAAGTACTTTCTATTGGTTTGATGTTTTGAAGGTCAAAGTACAGAAAACATAGTAATATTATTTTTGCTTTACAACAATGGTAATGGTATCTTCTCTTTTCAAATGTTTTTATCTGCTTTCCTTAAACTGCCAAAACCCAAAAAGATTGTATCTTCCAGAGTTCAGCACTTTGAAAAAAGCTGAAAACATCCCAAGTTAAAATTAACGAAATTGTAAAATAATCATTTCTTCTAAGATGTATATATTTTTTCATATCTTAATGTTTCTGAAAACCGCACACGTTTTCATGTATACATTTAATGTAGTAGTTTCTTTTTTCCTCCTAGAAGCTGTTTTAAACCAAGCGTGTGTCATAATTTTCTTAAAAAAAAAAATGAAAAAAATTCTGCTTTAATTATAGTAACACAAAACATAATGTTTGAGGCAAGCCAGATTATACAGTACACTAAATATGCCTAAACAAAATTATTTTAGATCTGCAAAGTGTTATATAAAGTACCAAATATCTTGGTTCTCAAAAAATCAATTTTAGAAAGAGGGAAAGGAAGAAAGCAAACCTTCCCATTTTAGTTTCAAACATTCAGAATGTTACAGCTGTTACCTTACAGTGTTAATTTTCTTTATGCATATTTTCTCTGTACAACTAGTCTGTGAGGGTTGGAAGACATCACACACACACACACACACACACACACACACACGGGGGTGGGAGTGCAACAAGAGCATGTACATGCCTATTATGTACCATTAATTTTCTGTGTGACGTTTTGGAGATATGTGTCTCCAAACAAAATTGCACTGGCAATACCAACAAAAAAGAATTAATAATATAGTTTAATACATGCTATAATAAAATTAAATACAGGGCATTATGGAGGCACATAGGAAAGGCGTCTAACCCTTCTTTGCATAAATGTGTATGTGTGCTACCAGGAAGGCTTCTGGGAGGAAATAACACCTACACTAATACCTGAAAAAGGAGAAAAAGCAAAGTCCTTGGAAATACTGATGGGGATTTCTTTTATCTATAATGTTAAGTAATGAACTGAACATGGCAGGTGCTCGATAATACAGGATATAAGGCAGGTACTGTCCCTTTCTTTGGGGGGAGTTTGGAAGAACAGAGAGGAAGGAGGGGCAGGAGGAGAGGAAAAGGCCAATAGTGAGTATAAGAAAGTATAACTAAAAAGACCAAAGCAGGATAAATCAATGAATAAAATGAACTCTGGTTTTGACATACTTAGTTCAAATCTGGAATTCAGCACTTACTAGCTATGTGATCCTGGGCAGATACCTGACTCTCTAAGTCTCAGCTTTCTTATCTGTAACCAGTAACAACCAACCATGAGACACTGTGAAGCTGAAATGGATAATATATATATTTGTTTATCTGTCTAGCTGTCTAATTAGTTTCCACACTAGATTTTAAGCTCTAAACGACAGAGACTATGAATAATATCTTATGAATCACTGCCTAGCAAAATGCTTGGCATACAGCAGATGTTCACTACCATTAAAAATTTATCATTTCAACGACAAATAAACCATGACCTCAGCACACCATTATAACTAGTTTGACTATATTCTGAAGAGATCAAAGACTGATAACTGACTGGCTTTTTATTTCACTATAAAACACTAAAAGTTTTATTAATTATAAGAACCATAAAGTCTTCCAAATTTGAACAAACCAAACATTTAGACAAGCATGCCCCTGGAAATATTATGCAGTTAAAATCTATACTTCAAGGAGGTGTAAATACAATCTTTTCCTCTCTCTAAAGAAGTGTTTTCAACCAAGGGTGATTTGCCCCCCAGAGAACATGCAATAACGTCTGGAGACATTTTTGGTTGTTGTAACTGGGGATCTAGTGGGTAGAGTCCAGGCATGCTGCCAAACATCCTACAATGTACAGGACAGTTCCCACAGTAAAAAATTATCTGGTTCAAAATGTCAACAGTGTTGAGGTGGGGAGGGGTGGGCATGGAGTCAGAGAGTAGAAAGGTAGGCAAAGATATAAGATTGCCTGAACACTTATAAGTAAGTTAGGCTTAACATTATCAGAGTTCATGTCCATTATTACAACTTATTCTTTTTTTTAATCAAGCTGTGATTTTTTTTTAAACATCTTTATTGGAGTATAATTGCTTTACAATGTTGTGTTAGTTTCTGCTGTATAACAAAGCAAATCAGCTATACTATACATATATCCCCATATCCCCTCCCTCTTGAGTCTCCCTCCCTCCCACCCCTCTAGGTGGTCACAAAGCACCGAGCTGATCTCCCTGGGCTATGCAGCTGTCAAGCTGTGATTTTTAAAGACAGGCTTAAATTTGCTTTTTCTCAAATATACCCCAGATAGAGAATGATCTCTCTGAAAATTATTTTAGGTCAATGAAAATATATAAAAGCTTTCAATAGCTCAGAAAAAAAAAAGCTTTTTTTTTTTTTTTTTTGTTTTAGTTTTTTTGGTGGTACGCGGGCCTCTCACTGTTGTGGCCTCTCCCGTTGCGGAGCACAGGCTCCGGACGCGCAGGCTCACCGGCCACGGCTCATGGGCCCAGCCGCTCTGCAGCATGTGGGATCTTCCTGGACCGGGGCACGAACCCGTGTCCCCTGCATCGGCAGGCAGACTCTCAACCACTGCGCCACCAGGGAAGCCCAAAAAAGCATTTTAAATGCTTAATTTCAAGACTTGCAAATGAAGTTCTAATATTTATCAGAGTAAGAATGCACAGCCACATCAAGCTGAATGGAAAAAAGATACATGTGGCTCACATTTCCTACTGTTTTATCAGTATATTGACTTTGAAAGTACAAAGCAGATTTAAACGATGTGTTCATTCATTCACATATGCATGGTTGAAGGAATATGTAGCACTTTGCCATTTCACTGCCTTTTTTTTGGTACTCTGCTATTTCTTTAATAGTAATCCCCATCACCACATTGTTTCTGATCTACGTTTCACAGCACATGTCCATTAATAATCTACTAAAAATTGTGAGGTGGTGCCACACGAGGTAATGACATAATGAAATCTAACTGATGGCAGTGAAAATTTTAACATTGGTTACTATCAGAAATGGAATCATTAGGTAGAAGTAGGTCTAGATGGTAACAAATCACAAACAGTTGATGTTATTATAATTTTTCTTGAGTACCTTTTGAAATAACATCAATCTTTGGTTTCAGATTTGAGAAAAGTAGTATTATCAAAATATAATAAAATAATTTAAAAATTTAATGAATAATTTTTGAAAGAGGTCTAATAAGAAATCCAATTCATGTAAAGCTATTGCTAGAGCTTGCCTGAGGTAATGCTTTGAGAGACTGTGTATGGGAAAAAAGTCCATCCTACTGGAAGAAATCTTTGGGTTTCTTTATTTCTGTATCATTAGAAAAAAATCTTATTCTATTAAAATTCAAGAGCAGTTCCATAATTTTGACATATATGCAAATACTTTGAGTCTGAAAAGTATAATGAATCCCTTAACTGTCTACTAAAATCATTTTTTTTGACAATCATCCAATTTATACAATAAGCAAATTCAATAGCTATAGTCCTTCAGAAAGACAATACCGGATTCATCTAAGCTGATATTTTACATTTGAAAGTGTGGCTAATTATCTGTGAATGTGCTACTTGTCCACATAACAATTTACTAAGTGACCATACCTCTTCAATACCAGCTATATTATTCACAGCCAGTTTTTTTAGAGAACTCTGAAGTTTTTTGTCATCAGCTGTAGCTGTTCTATGTACCACCTTCTTCTTTCTGCGCGCTGTACCCTGAAAGATAACCAAACAGAAGTGTTAGCGTGCCGTGCATTTGACAACTGCAATCACTTGTCTTCCTTTACATAATATTCTAACTAATATTCTAACATAATATTCATAATATTCACTCAAGAAACTGCCAACTTCAACTCAATAGTGAGGTGGTGCCACACACAGTAATGACATAATGCAGTCTAACGAATGATTAGATGATTAATAAGACTGTCAGCCTAACCCAGATTTTTAAAGGTCAGTTTCTAGCCAATTGTTCTTACTCTTTCCAATATCCAGCCTTTATCATTTTAACATTGTTTCAAGAAAATGTTTCTAATAAAAAAATTGTTTCTAATAAAAAATAATTTATAATTTCAAGATAATTTAGTGTGCTTTATATCAACTTTCAAACATTATAAGGAATGCTTTTTTTAACAGTGCCTACCACCCCCTGACAATAAAGTCTAAAGATATTCCGAAACTCTGGAGATTATGACATAATTAAGAGTCAAAGGGCTTCCCTGGTGGCACAGTGGTTGAGAGTCCGCCTGCCGATGCAGGGGACACGGGTTCGTGCCCCGGTCCGGGAAGATCCCACATGCCGCAGAGCAGCTAGGCCCGTGAGCCATGGCCGCTGAGCCTGCGTGTCCGGAGCCTGTGCTCCGCAATGGGAGAGGCCACAACAGTGAGAGGCCCGCGTACCACAAAAAAAAAAAAAAAAAGTCAAATGCCTATTATGTGAGTGTTCTAGAGTCCTAGAACTCAGGAATGAAAAAGATCAAGTTCTTACTTCAAGGAGCACACATTACAGTGTGAAGGAAAAGTCAATAAACATATAAACAAATTACATCATTTCAAACAGGACAAGGGTATTAAGAAAAAAAATAACATAGTGACAAGAATATCAGATGGGGGTAAAGCACTACTTTATTACAATGTTCAGGGAAGGCCCCTCTGAAGAGGTGACGTATGAGCTGAGATCCATGGGAAGACCTAGGGGAAGAGTGATCCAAGCAGAATGAAACAAGAGTGAACCTTTTATTTCTAGAGAAAGCAGGCCAGTATGGCTAAAGCAGAGTAAACAATGGGAAAGGAGGAGGAAAATGAAATCAGAAAGATCGGTAAGGGCCAGATCATGTGGCCTAGAATCCCATGGGCAGGAGTTGGACTTTATTCCAATTGCAATAGGAAGCCATTGGAAGGTTTTAAGCATGAAAATGACTGGATCTGATTTATAATTTTAAAAGATGACTGAGGTTGCTGTGGAAAATGAACTATAATGAAATCAATCAGGAAGTTACTGTAGCTGTCCTGATGAGAAATGAGGGTTGTGGCAGTGGAGGTGGTGAGAGCTCAGACTGTCAGAAGAACCAACAGGACTTGCTGATGGACTGGATATGGGATATGAGGGAAAAAAGGAATCTAGAATGATGTTTAGAATTTTGACCTGAGCAAATAGGTTGAAAATTATACTATTTACTGAGATAGGAAAAGTTCATTTCTAAATGGATACTTTGAAACTCTAAATACATTTTTTCCATTGAAAAACTATTTAAAACAATGAATTAAATTCCTGAGCCAATTTAAAAAAATGTAACCTAAAGCAGGGCTGAAACACTGCCAAGAGCAGTCTATATCTTGAGGCCTAAATCTTTCTGAGACCTGGCAGGAGTAAAGAAAAAGGAAAGGAGGTTTCAATCTCTGGGTAGCTCCTGCAGTATTACTCAGGCAATCAGGCTTATAGAGAGTAGGCAGAAGCCTCAGTCTCAGCAACTCTGGTGGGAGTAGAAGAGAGTCCTGTGGGTAGCAGGAGAGGTTGTAATGAAATCCAGTTAAAGGATGAACTAAGAGTGACTCTTTACATAGATGGCCATTTATTTATGATGTGTTCCTGACTCAGGGATAGCTCAATTGCTTGCTGGATACAACTCAAATGATCCTCACACACCTCAAAGTCAACATGCCTAAAAGCTTATCAGTCCACCAAACTACTCTTCTTATATTTCCTAAGTTTTGTAGCTCTAAAACCAGAAATTTGGACGTCATCCCAGAATCCTCTCACCCGTTCATCCCCCATATTCTATTGGTCATTAAATTGTGTCATATCCAGTCCCTGAATTTGTGCCCCACATACTACAGCAGTAGCTTCTCGATTGTTCTCCTCTATGCCAAACTTGTTTTATTTCATTTTCCACAATGCTGGTAGCTACCTTTTAAAATGACTGTTATTTCCTTCTTAAAATTCTACAGTAGTTTACTGTTGCTCTTGCCTATAGGATAAAATCTGAATCTCCCTAGTATGGCATACAAAACTATGATCTAACCCTAAATTACCTGGTTGTTTCATTTGCTACCATACTTTATCCATTATTTACTCTAAACTCTAGCTATAACAAACTAAAGCAAGCTGTTCCATTAAGCACCATGCTATCTCAGCATCCTATGGGCCTTTGCATGTGTGAGAACGACAATCCCCCCTTCACCCTACCCACTTATCCTTGCACCTGTTCTTGTTTATTCTTCAAATCTCAGCTCAGTGATGATGTCCTTCTCTCTCCTAGGCAGGAGCACCTTGTACTTCATTTTAACATTTACTATTCTGTAATGGAATTGTATATCTCTCTTCCAAGCTGAACTGTGTCAAGAGCAGGAAACCTTGACTTATTTATGTACTGTGTGCTTGGCCCATAGTACATTCTCAATAAACCAGCTGAATGAATGTGCCAACTATCTGGTTTAAAATATGTAATAGTGATGTGCTGCATCAAGTTCTTACAGGTATATTCTATGGTTCTTGAATATTCCTAGTTTTTGCATTGGTACATTACATTACACTTGCTGCTACAATGTGACTAGTACTTTGGTTATAGGAATGTGTTAATATGACTCCAGAGTCATATAACTGTATCACTATGAAAGAAGGAGAAAGTACTAGTTGCTTCTCCCCTTCCCCCTCTCCTGTCCCCATCCCCAGAAACTGTGGTTATCATCAAAGTAAATGACACAGTGGGGCTGCTACATAGTGTCCTACCTACCCCCTCCCTAGGTCTGAGGTAAATACTATTCATGCTTTTCCTTTTACAAAGATTGTATTGGGCAGAGATAAAGGTAGAATATTCTCCTTGAGCCTGAGGCTGGAGCTGAAGGGAATCAAAGATTTTCAGTGTTCAGAACTAGATCATCCTTAGGCTTCAAAGTACATGGGAAAAGAATGCTTATGTTCATATTCACTAACATAGACAAATAGGTAGGAATTTGGGAGGAAAACCTAGCAATGAACAATGTACCATCAACTTAAGCATGCCCCATTGTACACCTAACTGAAGCAGTAGGGGCATCCAGTCAAGATAACCTTAATATCTGGGATGCCCTGAGGGTGAGTCTAACATAATAGCTGTCATTTATTAAGTGTTTAGTCTGTGCCAGACACCGTTTTAGGTGTTTTAGAAATATTACTCTATCTTTAGAAGCATCTTATATAGGATTACTTTTGTTTTGCAGATGCGAAAATGGAAGCTTAATAAGGTTGGTTAACTTGTTCATCTCATATAACCACCAGATGTTAAGAAGACTCAAAGGTGGCTATTTCAACTGCACCATCAGAGAGAGAGATCTTCTAATTACCTATTTTAGATCTAGACAAATTATTTTCAAATTGGAATGTGGTTTAATCTTGATTGTTTAAAAGATTTTAGATTTTCAATGACCACAAATCCAAAATAATGACACTATCTGGTAATAATACATTCTCCTATCAGTTATTCTTATGCCACACTCACCTTGCCCCCTATCCGGACCTGAGCCTGAAGTTTGGCTAACTTTTCTTGATTCATGCTGTTGGTAAATCTAGGGGGGGAAAAATAAATTTGTTAAAGTCACTGTTTTATTTACCAAAACAAAATAACTGTTTATACAACAGTACCTTCTGGTTCACTGAACCTGTAATATGCATCACCACCACAATCATATTGTCTATATTCTTAAAAATATTAATAACTTGTCCTAGCTTCATAAGCCAGACAGTAAAAAATCCAAAATTAAATAATACCAAGAGGGAGCTGAATTTACAAACAGAAAATAGAATGGGATTCAAAGTTACCTATTCGAAGATCCCTCCTTAAAAGCATGATTCAGTACTTTGGCATTCAATAAAACCTAACCAATTATGAAATCTCTGCAAGCCAGTTTTTCCCCCAAAGATTTTCACAGCAGAGAGCTGTTACCAAATTAGCACAACCTTTAAGTAAACATTTTTCTCTCAAATCACATTTTGTATTTCTTTAAACCATAAAAAGAAGACAAAAAAAATGAAAGAAAAAAAAGAGAAAAGAAAAATCTGGACAAAGAAAAAAATACAACAATAGGCTGTGTAGCTGTCAAGATGTGAGGTAGTCACGTCCTCTATTCAAGGTCAGGTGGTATGTTAATAATAGGAAAAGAGAACCAGATTTTCAGACATTCAATGCTTCTGCAGCACTTTCCACGGAGTTCATTCAATACCTTGCACTAATATAATATGTCATACTTGTCAAGATACTCTTGCATATAAGGTAAAATGCCTCCTTGCACAATTTGACAAAAACCTATCTCTGCTACATTGATGCTAAATTTTGTGGGGAGGAGGGGAGAGGAAACTCTTAAAAATAAACTTTTAAAGGTTAATCTTGATTTTGAAAACTCTAAGAGCATTATAAAGTCATGAATCCTACTCTTGTCAGTCCTTTCCTACTAAGGAAAAAAATTCTTCAGTTTATAATGGGCCATAACATTCCACACTATGTAAACAAATAAAAGCCAATGTTAAAAGTCTTGTTTTACTTGTTCTTGGATCAACAGATCATTACTGAGATATGAGAGAGGGAATAAAGGATAAGGTGTTAAAAACTTTTTGGCTGATTCTCTAAACTCTTTATAATCATCATTCAGATGAAAAAGCTACTGTTTTCTTCATTTCAGAGATGAAAGAGAATCAAAGATTATATAAGTACTAATCGTTCTATACTCTGACACTGTACTTAGGCACTAACCTGTATATCTCTCTGCTTTAAGGCCAAAGTCCAGTTCCTAAATAACATTTAGAATTTATGATTTCTCAGTCTTTACTCAGTACTGTATCACAATGCTCAAGCAGCTAAAACACTCTTTCATAGGAGCGAGTGTGATTAGAGTACAAAATCAGGAGACTTAGGTGTGTGGCAATCTCAACTCTGCCACAGACTTAAATCTGCTGATGTAAATCCCAATCTCTACATTCATTATCTACAGAAAAGGACCAATATTCACTACTCTCAAAGGAATGTGGCCACGAAGGTGTAGTGAACTAACAAAGAGCCTAAGGAATTTTTTACATAAAAAAGGGGATAAGTGAAAATATTAGAACCAGACACAGGGTAAACCTTTTGGGACTCTTCGGCATTTTGAAGTAACAATCCCCAAGAGAAGAGGTGGAAGCCAAAATAGAGTCCTGACTTGTTTGAAACAAAGCAAGGACAAAATTAACTCTTTATATCAATGTGTAGACAAGAAAGAACAGAATCCATTCCAGATAATCAGTATAACAGAAAACTTGTTCCCAAGGAGTACCTCAGAGAAAAAGCATTTTAGGGAGGTTGGAAGCTCAAGGTTGGTAGGGGAGGAAGAAGAGTGGTCCTTTGTCTACTAGCAGGTTGGGGTGCATGGAATTCAAGTAGGAAATTAGATTGGACTCAGTCTATGAGAGAAGAGATTTCAAGCTCAGAATTTGGAATAGACCTCAAAGATCACCTGCTTTAACTCCCTATTCCTCAATCAACCTTCATTTTATTGTACGCATTATTTCTGTCTTGTACATGTGGCCATTTCAAATACTTGCAAGCAGCAGCAGGGTATAAATTATAAATAAACAAAAGTTCACCTCCCTCCCAATTTAATAGATTTGGAAATGAGGGCCCAGAAGGGAGAAGTCACTTCCTAGGCCCAAAAGGAAGAAGTAACTTCCTAAGCCCATATGATTAGTGAGTTCTTCTTTGGGGATCCTAGGATCTTTTAGCCTTTTCCTCAAGGAATCTCGAAAAGATGCAAATAATGAGGTTATAATCAACATTTATTGAGTGCCTAAGTTCCAAGCATTATGGTGGGCACTTTCACATACACCATGTTCACAAAGAGATAAAATAATTTCAATCTTTAATCCTGACTTTTTATTTTGTGGGTTACTCTATCTAATAAGAGAGGCACAGGCTTTGGAATCAGAAAGATCAAGTTTCCACCACTTAGGGCTTCAGAACGGTATTTTGCTTCTCTGAACTTCTATCCCTTCCGTATTAGAAACAGTGTAACACCACATACTTCACAGAGTTGTTTTAAGAGTTAAAGATTAAGGTATCAAGCACAGGGTATGGCTCACAGCAGACACTCAGAAACTGGTAACTATTGTTACCATTCCCTAAGGGACAGATCTGGTAGAGTGAAAGAACGTGGGAACGGAAGTTGAAACCTCCATTCACGAGCTGTGTAACACTGCCCGTCGGTCAATCATCAACTTCCTGACAGCCTACTATGCATCAGGCAGTGTGATGGGGCTATAAAAATGGGCAAAGCAATATCTCAGAGAGGGTGGCAAACTTTAAGCAAACACTGCCATTACGAGGTGAAGAGCGCTGCAACGGAATTCGGTCTCCAGCGCTCGAGGGCGGGGGCTGCTAGCCTCAGTTTCCCTATCTGTCTAGTGGGAAGATCAAACAAGATGACAGCAGATAGGCTGTATAAAGCTCACAGCATTATTGTTGTGAATAATGAAGAATAACAGGACAGAGGCGGGGGACCACCTGCCTCCTGGGACTGGATCTGGGCGGCAACAGCGCAGGCCCGCTCGCTCACAGAAAGCGGTGGTGCTGGGGACCTTCCCTCAGGTGCCGACCCCCAGCTGCGCCGCCGGTAACCCAGAGGCCAAGCCAGCCGCCTCCGCCCCCACTCGGCGCGCCACAGCGGAAGTGGCAGCCCCAGCAGTTGGCGGGTGTCGGCAGAAAAGGGCGGGGGGAGATCGTGCGCAGCGGCCTAAGGCCGTGGAGTGGCGGGACCGCCGGGGGTCTCACCTGAAGCAAGGAGGGTCCTCCAACACCAGTACGCGGCAAGAGCAAGATGGCTACCTCAGTCGAGACAGAGAAAGACGAAGGCGGCCGCGGCGGCGGGAGTCGGTCCCACGTGACACATCCGGCCCCTCCTCTCTCTCACCAGAGCAACCTATCCCGGGAGCCCACATACGAACTACAAAGCCCAGGCTGCTCTGCGCCTCCCAATAGAAAAGCGGCAGGTGCAGGTGGCCGCGCTGCATCCTGGAGCTTGCAGTCTCCCTGGTGTTCCATTGTGTCCGTGCCTGCAGTTTGTAGGGAGCCTAATAAAAGGGCTGTGTGTATTTTTGTTTGGGTGTCTACTTTTGCCGGATGTCTTTCACTAGGAATTAAGTACGCACTGTCGAACTTAACTAGTGCGGACTCACGAGTGTGCAGACTCAACTAGTCTCCACTCAGGAGACACGGGAAATTTTGACCTGTTTGTTATGCATCAGAGAGGAAAACTGAGAAATACTTAACCCACGGATTTTAAAAACAACAAAAACAAATAGATTTAACCAGAAGAAGCTTTACACTTTAAGTGCCTGCAGTAACTTATGTCTTGGTGCCCTGAAGAGCTAGGTCAATTTTGCAATGAGAGGTTCCAAGTCTGGTTTCCTCAGAGCTTGCATCAGTTGATTGCATCATCCCTGAGTGGAAGAATTTGGGTTACAAGGAAAAATAAGGTGCAGTGCTTCTTCTCCAGCAGGAAGGGGCATTCTTGCAGGCACGAGACCATGCACCGCAGAACAGACTTGCCAGGTCTCTTCGAGACTCGAGCAGGAACCTAAGAATGAAATCCGGTTGTCTGCCTTTTTTTTATTTGCGAAGGGGGAGGGGGGACCCGAAGCCAATGGGCACCCCGCCCACTGTTGGGTACTGCTGACTTCACAGATCAATAATTTGCGTAGTGAATATTAAGTGACCGGTTTTTTGGGGGAGGGGCTAGCCCGCAGGCGGACGCAAGCAACGGATGCAAGCAGCAACGGTTCTCCCGAGCCTCCTCCCCACCTCCCACTATCTCGGCCCATCTTTTCTCTCGGTACTCGGACTGAAAGTCCGGAACCTGGGGAAGCAACTAGCGCTCAAAAGCAGCCCCCGCAGCCTTCTTCGTGATCTGCACCTTTAAACTCTCACTCGGTCCCAAACCGGACCCCGGAGGCACCACCCACATCCGTCTAACATCACTTCCTTCAGGGTTAGAAAAAAAAAAAAAAAAAAAAAATCTGGGAACAGGAGCGGATGGGCTGAGCAGCACTTGGGAAACCGCGCGGACTTTCTGCTAGGACTCGGGCCCTACGCCTGCTCAGCCCCGTGGCTCCGCGCACCTACCACCATGGAGCTGCGGCCTCGTCTCGGAGCCACCTGTTTGCTGGGCTTCAGTTTCCTGCTCCTCGTCACCTCTTCTGATGGACATAATGGGCTTGGAAAGGGTCAGACCGCGTTCTTATCTTAATCTTTACTTATCCTGGGCCCCAGCCCGGGACAACCCTCTTCTTGTTCTAACATGATCCCTTTCCCATTTTATCTCTGTGGCCACGTTAGATTTCTTTTTATCCTCTCGAACTGCTCCTGGAATTTGGGGTGGGGAGTAGCGGGTCTGGGGAATGTTGAGATGGGGAAGTTTTACTTGAGGCCTCCCTGAATTCTTGGGTTGGGGTAAGGAATTTCCCTTATGTTAGGAAAAGCATGTTTAAGAGACCAGCATAGTGCCTAGCACTTGGTAGGCCCTCAGGCACCGTTACCTTCCCTCCTGGGAGAAATAGGACCTTTGGGGATCTGTATATTTAGACCCTTGCCCTGGGTCTGAAGAGTCCCCTCCTCACCTCTTCTTTTAAGAGCTAGGTTACTGCTTCCTTACCTTGGAGCGAACAGCACCTATATCCTAGGGAGGGGTGACTGGCACAAAAGGAAGGGCCAGATGAAGGGTCAAAGGTCTGATGTTAGAAACCGCAACGAAGAGTAGTCCCCCCGCTCGCCGCAACTAGAGAAAGCCCGCACACAGCAACGAAGACCCAATGCAGCCTATATATATATATATATATATATATATATATATATATATTTAAAAGGCTCAGTTCATTTTGGGGAAAATGTCTGCCAAACACCCTGGTTGGAATAACCATAGTTATTTGGTGGCAAGCTCAGCTTGCAGCTCAATCATACAAGAGCTTTTTCCCTCAAAACAACCAGGGAACTTTGGCGAACAGTAGGTCACCAACAGTTGTTCTTGGTTCCTTGGTGTGGTTCAGTAGGTGTGTCTGAAGAAACTGAGTTTTTCTGAAGAGTGAGGGGGCAGTGGTTATGAATGGAGAATAAGAGGTGTGACCCCCTACTCCATCCATCCCATTACCTACATCTTTATTGGAACTCAGGGTTTTATGCTTTTTCTAAGTGGTTGTGTGGTAGCATGCATTCCCCTCCCTTTCCTTTTTTTTTTTTTTTTGTAGTGACATTGCTGTATGGAATGTCTCTGCTGCAATCCTGCTGTTGTTAATTGTGTTTTATCCTCCCTATTTGCACATTTATTGGTGGGTGATGAGATTGGGTGGACGTTCAGTGTGCCTGAATGCAGTCAGTCCTTCATTCAGTAAATAATTTTTGATCACCAACCGTATTACAGGCATGGTCCTAGGCACTAGGGATATATCAATGGATAGGACAGACAAGGTTCCGCTCTCACAAAGCTTATATTCAATTCAGAGAGACAGAGAGTAGATACATGAACAAATTAAAAGGCAAGATAACTTCAGCTAGGGATGAGTTCTGGGAAGAAAATGGAACTGATGGAGTAGAAAGGCTGGAGAAGGATGAGGGAGCTGGCATTACTTGAGCTAGGAAGGTCAGGGGAGACTTCTCTGAGAAGGTGACATGTGGGTTTCCATCTCAACGATGAAACTGCACAGTGAATTCTGTTGAGCCAGAATGTTTTAAGTACTGACAGTCCCATTTTAAAGCAGATTATTGTATATTTAGTGTAAAATTGTACTGAAGGAGACAGAAGAGTGTAGTGTTAGGAGTGTGGGTTTAGATTTGAGTTTTAATTTATTCTGCCACTAACCAGCTGAGAGGCCGAGGGCAAGTTGCTAAACTTCTCAAAGCTCAGTTCCTCATCTGCAAAAGGGGCAGAATAATAACTACCTCAGACACGCAACAAATAATTTACCCTGTTCCAGTATACTGTGTTAGGTGTAGGCAATACCTTGGAGTCATGTATTCAGTATTCCTTGTTAGACATTAAGCTCTGTGTGGTTGTTCCAGTTACCATTGTTGCATTATAAACCACCCCCAAATTCAGTGGTGTAAAGAAATCGTTTTATTATGCTCACGATTCTGTGGGCTAGGAATTTAAACAAGGCACAGTGGGGAAGGTATATGTCTTGGATCCAAGTCTGGGGCCTCAGCTGAGCTGGTTACTTCTACATGTGGTCTGTCTTCATGGGCTAGTGTGGGCCTCCTCACCATATGACAGCTAGATTCCAAGAGTGAGTGCCCTAAGAGACCAAGGTGAAAATGCATGGCATTTTTATCATCTAGCTGTACAAGTCAAATAGCATCACTTCCACTGTACTCTGTGGGCATGTTCAAGGGCAAGGGAAATTAACCACACCCGCTCCGTCCCCCATGGGAGGAATGTTGAGGTCCCATTGTAAAAAGAGCATGTGGAATGGGAGATATTGTTGCAACCGTCTTTGGAAAGTACAGACTGCCCCAGTAAGGTAGGACCATTTCTGTCTTATTCGTGCCCAGGAATATTTGTTGAAAGAAAAAATGAATGGTACACATGATCGTTGAGATTCCTGTCTTTTTCAGCTCATAGTCTGAAGACTGTCAGGACAAGTAAGCAGGCAATTACATGACACTGTGATATGTACTGTAAGCAGGGAAATAGCAGGTAACTTAGGAGCATATAGAAGGGCAACCTTGGTGGGGAGGGGCTGTGTTGTGAGGATTAAACAAAAAAACAAAAGGTATTTAATATGTGTCACAAACTTAGAAAAGTGTTTATTTAATGTTTATTATTATATCCTCCCAAAGAAGAATATTGAATTGTTCCTGAAAGGAATTAATAATATTTCAAACTGTTTTTGTTTGTTTGTTTTTATTTTTTTGTATCTTGTGAGTGTGGTTTCTTGGAAAATAGATTACAGCTCACCACCCACCTCCCAAAAAAGTGCTACCTGGAGCAGTGATGAGTAAGATTTCTTCCCAGATGTTTAAGTACTTTTGACTCTTTCCAGAAGATGGCCTGGTGGTTTGCAGAGAGGAGAGACGGAATGACCCTAGCGTTTTCATTAAGAAGAGGAAGTACAGTGGTGTGGTGTGAGCACTGGATAGAAATCAGGAGGCCTGAGTTTTAATCCTGGTCAGACTATATAGCCAGCTCTCGTCTTCCCTGGGGATCATTTATTACATTAGAGAGCTGGAACTAGAAATGATTCCTAAGAGTCCTTCCAGCTCTAACATCCTAGAGTTCTAAAATAATTTTGTTGTTTTCCGTGTGCTAAAAATTTGGAATATGTATCACCTGTGGGGAGGAGTGTAATGCTTAACACTTACTGTATATTTGCTGTATTCCAGGAACGGTTCTGTGCATTTTTCTTGTATTGACTGGTTTAATCCTCATAATAACCCTCTAAGATAGATGATATATTTTTTTCCTTGTGAAGCTGACATTTCATTAAATAAATATTTTCATTCATTAAGATATTATATTTTCAATATTTTATTACAGTAGTTTTCAAACACATAGCAAAGTTGAAAGAATTTCGCAGTGGACCCCCTTATGTCTGCCTCCCAGGTCTACCATTGATGCCTGACTATCCTTGTCCTATCATGTCTCTCTCCACGTAGTCATCTATCCATGTGTAAATCCATTTTTTTCTTACAGCATAGATAATATTTTTTCATCATTATCCCCATTTCACAGATGAAGAACGTAAAATGGGACACAGGAGTCACATAGCTAGTAAGTGGACCCGCTGAGATACGAATTCCAGAGCTTCTGTTCTCAACAATATACCACTCCTGCTCAGAATGCAGAAGCTCCTTTGAAAACTTTAAAGGAGAAATGAGAAAGTTTTCAGTGGGGGCGGT